TCTGGCACAGCGCCAAGGGTTGGAGCCTGGAGGGTGAATGAACCCCCTCCATGAATCTTCATGACCCAGACACTCCATGGGACTGCCATATATGCCTATACATTGATCCCTCAAACCACCCCAGGCCGTTTCTCGGCAGTCCTATGGCAGTCCCATGGAGTGTCTGGGTGATGGAACTGCACGTCCACTTTGGGGAAGCATCGCCTCCGAAGCATCGCCTCAAACCTCCGTGAAACGGATCGTCGTTTGTCTCGTCTTCCCTGCTCCGTTTCGGTGAAGCACATCCGGAGAAGTGAAAACACCCAGTTTCTAAAAGAGTGATCTCAAAGGAAGGTCACCGTTCCTACAAGCACTGGGGTGGTCCACCGTCCTCGGACTGGGAGAGTAGATGACGACTGGCGAGCTCCGCTCCTCCGGGTCGGACCGAGTCCATCGATCTGAGTGATGGGGTCGTCAGCATCGAGTCCCTGAGTTCAGGAGGAACACTTCAAACTGGAAGATGCAGCGCAGCGCTGTGCGTGTAGAAGAAAGGGCCCATAAGGGCTCGAAGACCCGCTTTCTTTTTGGTCCTTCTCCTGGCATCTATTATATCACTGAAAACAAAATACACCCCCAAGAATCATGAAATGTAGAACCCCAAAACAGCTACTTTTCAAAGGAACATGCTTTTTGGTTTATTTTCTCCTGGATCTTCGTCAAACACTCCGTCTCATCCCTTCGGCTTCCGGTCGGCTCTGCTTTACAAGCAGATCCAAGTGGCGCAAATTCCCTGCAGCGCCGGACCCAGTAAAGTAGTGGATGGGGAGCATATTCCTCAACTCTCCAGCGGCCGCCCGCGGGGTACGTTTTTCCAGCGTTATTTGCGTGTTATCCTTCTCACAGTGGTAGGTCTTTTTGCATGTGCTGGCAGTCTGTGAGAGGGAGTTTGAGGGTTGAAACTCATGGTTTTGGAGAGTGGTGCCAAAACAAATTCCAGCGGTGCCAAAACATAGTCTACTTTTAAAAGAGATATCTATGTTAACATTCTATTTAAAGTACTGAAACACCAGTGATCATCAATCACGAGGCGTGAACAGGAAGGAGACTTCGGAGTTACGCTTCTAATCGGCTGCCTTCATATATAGACCCGCAAAATGTTACGGAAACACGGTCCAATACATGTTTTTGGTGGATGTGTCGTTCTTTGTCTTTCTACAGTATATTTTGTCGGGTTGCAATAGAGGCGAACCCCTCAGGGTCGGGACGGCGATCGTCATGGGCTGCCATTCCTGTTGTCCAGGGCATCCATAGGCTTTGCCCCAGTACTCCCTAGTGGGAGACACAAGTGTATTGCTACTCGTCGTTCTGCTGATCCAATCGCGCTTTAACGTTGCGGACGCCAAGCACCAAGCCCTGCTAATGAATCAATTAAAAAACTAAATCAAAGGCTCAGCTCATTCAATCTCGGAAATATCATATCCGAAGAAGCTCTCTTATTGGTGCAGGCTTCTTTGAAGAGTGAGACATAGTGAGACCCTTCAACCAAGCACCTGGACCCCTCCAAAGCCGAGCTTCTGTTCCTGTCGGCTTCAAATACGGGTGATCCTGAGAGAACGCCACGACATGCGCATCAAACTATCAAAGCTCGAGGGGGGAGTGGTGGTGCAACCTCCTAGCTCTGTCTTCCAGCTCTGAGACTCTAGTTCTGCAACCTGCTAAGGCCACTTCACTAAGCACCCATTCCAGGGCTCTGTAACCACCACCCCCTCCACACCTCTGCCAGCTTCGTGAGGCCGGCCACTACGCCTGGAAGGCCACCGCGTTCCGCAGCGTTCAGGCGTTCCAAGGCTGGACATGCTACCGATGGAAGATGTACAGTGGCCCCATTCCAAGGTCCAAAAAAAGAACCCGCAAACATGCCAGTCCCATGAAGAGTCTGTTTTCTGGAAGGGGCCTTGAAAATGTGACATTAATCTTGCTTCGTTGCGGGGCAACGGGCAACAGGTCCGGCTTCTTTGAAGAAGCGAAGAAGTGCAAGCTTGGTACCGGTCAAAGGTGCCAACAGGTGCCATTTAACATCAATGACCAAGGAGGATCGTTCAGCCAACACACTCAGCCAACACCATACCAAAACCGACCCCAAACCCTCCCAAACCCCAGCCCCACACCTGTCCGTGCTCGCCATGGTCGACGTGAGTTCACTCGCGACCCAGTAAACCAGGCCTGCGAGGGCGGGGTCGGCCACCACGCTGCCCATTTGATAGATGAACTCCTCATTGCTCAGTCCATTCCTCAGTGGCGCCACAAGCGTCGCCGCCCTGGGGGAGGTCGTTCCTCCAGCGTCCTTCGCGCCCAAACGCGAGGGGGGAAGGGTCGTGCCGGGGCCTCGGCCGAAGTGGAAAACCGAAAAAAGATGGACGTGAAGTCTCCTGGCTACTTGGAAGACCCTTTCGCCCTTTTTGTGTGGCACGGTTGTAGTTCCATAATGTTTCATATAAAGCTCCATATATTGAGACATCATGCCATTCATACTCATTGAACCAAATATTTTCTCCGCCCAATGCCAATGTCCACCCTCAACGCACACCAGCTTCATCCAAAGCGGCCCATGAGTACCACCACAGCAAGTTTGCCCCATGGCGGCACTTGCAAACCCAAAGACCTCTTGTCTCTGGGCACTGGATTTTTTGGAGCACACCCCACAAATCCACGATATGTTGAATCTACTACAGCATCACTGACCAAATCCTTCGCTCCTCGTGGCTCTTCGAGTCCTGGCTTCGTGATTTGGGTGCTGGCCCACTCCACACAGTGCTACGCAGTGCCGCGAGCGAGCCGAGGTCGCGAGATGGGCGGTCGGTGCCGGTGGGCAGGGAAGTGCCAAATGCCAAGGGATGGGTTCAAGGATGTATAGTGGCGTCAGAGTAATTAAATGGCACAGACCTTAAGAGGTGGTCTTTATGAACTCCCATGTTCTTAACATCTTGAGGTCTGTGCCATCGAACCTCTGAGTCCACTGCACTCTACCCCTGAGAATCTGGGCCTGAACCCACACATAGCGTTTGCGAACCGGGCCCGGATGAAATGGGTTCGGGCACGTTCGGATTCCCAAGGAACGAGACAATCCCGTGAGTTCATCACCAAAACCCAGGGACTTAGGGTCATCACAACATCTTTCGGAGTCGAGATGGACGTCTCAGGGTTGGATGGGTTATGATGGGTTGGTTCTAAAACCCTGAGGCTCATGATGCTCGTTGAGGACCTGGAAGAAGAGAAACACCAAAAAGAACCAACAGCACAGGTGAGGGTGGTGAAATGTTCATCCCAGGTGAGGACGTGGTGCTGAAGTCACAAATCCAATGAACCTTGAAAAAGGCGTGTGAAAGAAATCTTGGACATCGGCTCTATCATGCCCTATTAGCCTACTGTATCCTGCCTATACCTGGACCTTCAGTACGTGACCTCTGACTGTTCGTCTCTGTTTGTGACCTCTTTAGAGACTATATACGTGACCTCAGTCAGCCACTAGGATCTCAAGGGCGGTCGCTTTGAAGGTCCTGGTGTATTAACTATGTCTTATTAATCCCCTCGGGATCCAGTCGTACCTTCTCAGAAGGCACTTGGACCCTCCAATCCCACTCCAGTCTCACCTTCTGAGAAGGTACGACTGGATCCCTAGGGATCGATTATGTGTGTCAGATTTGACACTTTGATTTATCATGGTGAAGCTAGTCTTCAGTCTCCAGAGCTTCAAAGATGAAAACGGAGCCCGTATTTGTTGATCTAGCCCTCCCAATGCCACACACGAAAACAATACCCCCTTTCCCGTCTTGATCTCTTCGCTGTTCACATCTCGGTTCGACCAATCTTGGGTGCAAGGCCACATGATGCCAGGTATATATCTCTAAGAATCCAGGTAAAATAATGGTTGTTCGGGATTCGGCCTATGAAATTAATGGTGGGGCAGGAATCCCACCGGGAATAGAACACTTGCAGGTATTGACCGTGACACGAACCCACCAAACCGCGAGATAGGTCCTTGCCACAGAGTCAAGCATATGCTGTCTTGGTTGGCATGTGAAGTTTGTTACGCGTGCTTTTGCTGAGAAGGGGTTCGCGAATGTCTGGGGTCTGAGCCTGTTTGGAGGATTCCGCAGGACTTGTGTTTCTCCTCCGCCTCTCCTGCGTTCGGCTCTCCTATCGGTGACACCGTCGATGCACTACCGCCTTTAGCGGGGGCACCACCGTCGCAAAGAACCGTGAGATGGGAGTGAGTGGCGCATTGGGTTGGTTTCAGGGCAGGTACATATACATTGCCATAAATGGAACGTCTGGGCAATATGCCAGTGTCACTCCCATTTTTCGGATGGTCTGCAGCTATGATCCACGGCCTTCCGGCCTTCCGATCGTATGTTAGTTACAACACCTCAGAGGGCGTCCGTACCATCTGCCATTCACATCATGCACTTTCTCAGCAACTTTTGGGGGGTTAAGGATGGAACCAGGCCTCCTCGCACCGAGCTCACTCATCCTCCTTGCTCCAGGACATGATTCTCAAAGTCACCTGGCCAGATGCGTCGGCACGCGCGACGCAAGACGCAAGCACACCCGGTGTGGGCGATGTCCAGCCAGCCACGCCTCACCCGGATGATGCTGCAGGGTCTGCAGCAAATCCAAGGCCTTGCGATGTCCGCTGACGGAATCACAGATCCATCGAGGGAGAGGCCTTGATATTGAAAGCGAGGACCATGTCATTCAACACTTCATATTATGAGCAAAGATGAGCAAAGTGATGCTTGAGCTATTCCATACTGGTAATGAACGCTTTGTACCAAAATCCCTTTGGTTCAGCGTTGGCATGAGACTCCCCTGGTATGTTGTTGCTCACTTTGACCCTCTACACAACAAGCAACTCAAAGGTTCTTCAGCCTATCCCCTCAAACAAAGACCGTTGAACCACCGGGGCTTCTTCTGGCATTTCAAACAGGAGTTTTGAGGCTAGTGATGCAGCTCAAACATCTTGTCATGGTGTTTCTTCACACGCTCACTTGTTCCAAATTCCTCCCAAGTTGCTGTATTTCTTTTCTGCGCTGTGGTTGATGCAAACTCCCCTGAAGTGAGCATGAATTCCGGGCAAGGTCATGGTGGTAACGGTGGCAAATGTTTACATAAGGCACACGCAATCACCCAACGAACAAATGCACAAAGGTGGAAGCACACCGCTGAAACGCCTGGCAAGTCTACGTAATGGATCAATAATAATCAAAAGGTCTAGAGATGTCTAAAGTCTGGAGGCGCTGCGTGGTGGGGTTCCCCCACGCGCCTTTGGAGCCTCCTCTTCCACTGGGGAGACTGCCTTGGCCCAGCGTGTTGGACGTCGACTCCAGAAGAGCTTCACCCAGCGTCGCCCGTTTTGGATTCAATTCCTGGCCCCAGCAGTGTGGCTTTTACCCAAACACTCCATGTATGCCGCTGTATGCCATATATCCCCACATTGACCTCCAAAACCACCCCAACTGATCGGCATAGATGAAACAGGAAGGTGGGACAACTGCAAAATGAGTCACATTTCAGCATTGGTTGGATGCTCAACCCTGGCTTCGAAGCTTGGTTTCTCTTTCACATCTCTCGCTCAAGCATGGCCAACCTGTCCGATACAACCCTTGTATGGTCCAACCCTCCGGAACTCACCCGAGTCAGAACGAGTTCTGCGACCTGGAGTGAGACGCTGGAGTGGAGTGCCAACCTAGATGACACACAGATCGGCCCAGTGGATGATGCTTAGGTTGCAGGCCGACATCTCAAAACGAGATAAACTGCCAGGGCATATCCTGATACAGACACTCCAGATCAGTTGGGCTGATACTCTTGCCAGTAAGTAAGTGGATGATGGTTAGTCATTAGTGCCTTGATCCAGCACCACCCAGTTGGGGTGGTTATTGGATGTTATTGGATAGACAATACATCTTCGGGGTGGGGGCCGGGGGGGTCTATAAACCGCCCAAACTGGGCGGTGCTGGATAGTGATCATATGTGATCATAAATTGCTTATCGACTGTTAATTACAGGTCACGGGACACACCCGGCATAGATCCCTGTGATGATTTTTTCGACCTTGGAGGTCAGTCAATTCTTCCGACCCAGGTCCATGGCCCTGGTTCTGAAAACCTCAGACCGAGTAGTGCTTTTGCATTACTAACCAACTCCAGCAATTTTGAGGACCAACTGACACTGTAGGGATTCCTTGAGGACCAGGCGGTGCCACCGCAGGGCAGTTGCCTGTGCCTATCTCCAAGTACGCCCCCCAAAATCTCCAAGGGCCCCTGGCCACAATTCGGTCCCCGCATTGGATGGCGTGATCTGGATTATCCTGATTCCACTCCTGGCGTGGCAAAGACATGGACAAACGTTGTGTGACATGTTCTGTGTCAAGGGTGCTGATCATCATACCTGAGTGTGATTGTATGAAATCTAGGAAAACTAGAAAGTATGTAACCCGTCACTGGATCCGTCACTGCCCTTCTTCTTTTATTATATGTCTATAGAATTTGCACCGGTTCAGAAACACCCTTGGACATCCTTGGACCACCCTGTCCCCCAACCCGGGGCCTACAGATTGAGCAACAAACACATGGGTGTGACTGAGCCAAAAACCCAGCCCTTGGTTTCAGGAACCTATATATTTGGGTGTGGGTCAAAAACCGGAGCTTCAAAACCCTGGTTGGTTGACCTCCAAGCTAGTCCATTCTGTTCGTGGATGGCTCAGCCGGCTTTTACCCATAGCCACTTGAAGTTGTAACAATGTATAAAAATGTATTTTGCAAAGTCATGTCTCTCATCAGCGAACTGGTCGACGGGCGACTGACCTCCGAACACAAACAGGCTGAGTCAACCACTAGTGGAAGTCTCGAACCATCAATTCCTGAGACTCTCCAGTTCCTCCTCCGGGTGAGTTGTGAATTTTCCATAAAGAACAAGGTCCAAATTTTGAGCTATGTGCACGATCCTGAATCGACTAACAACTGCACTTGCAAGATGAGGTCACGAGTTGAGGTCTGAGCGACAGCACATGCTACAGAAGGAGACTCCCGATTTGTTCGACAGTACCCCCTCCCTTGCCCGCCCTGCTCACATACGACACGGCACCTGGATAGGCCCCTCCTAGCGCGTGCGTCGCGAGTACGCGATGAACGATGGATCTGGATGAAACATCAGCCGACGGTGTTGCCCTGCTTCCACTGGCCAAGGCAGGAGTTCAAGTGGTGCGATCTGGCCCACTTCAGGTGCTGTTTGCCGAAGTGGTTTCAAGGTCTCCTTGATTGCAACCACACGCAGGCATCCATCACCCACCTGAAGGCAGGAAGTGAAAAAGCAAGTGAATGCAAGTGAGGAGGTCTGGAAACATTATGACGTCCAACCTCACACCAGTGGATCAAAGCTTATGAATCTCATATAGTGTCTGCCCCAAAGAAGTGAAGCATCACAGGAGTTTGGAGCAAGTGCACTTCTTTCCTCCACACAATCGTCCAACGCCAACTCTGGCTGGTAAATCCCGGGCAGGGACGGGAAAATACGCGAATAAGAGGGGCTTGCCCAGAGCAGCTTAGACGGGCTGCAGCAGGTTCTTGTTGCTGCTGGTGCCTAATGTTCATGTCAGTCGGCCAACATTTCCGTGTCAAGTGTCAACGGTGGTTCTTGTGCATCTGCGGCTGTGCACATCATCTTGACAAAAAACATGAAAAAGTATCCTCTCCAAACACTATATAACTAACGTAGGCTGTTGATTGTTGATGAAAAAAATCCTGTCCAGAATGGTGTTACATCTCCGTCTGAGATGTTCTTGTAGTGAGTTCTTTGCAGTTGCTGAGATGTCTTGCTTCTCTGTTCTTGCTCTCAGCTTCTACTACCAGCTTCTATGAAAGGTCCCAGGTACTTGTGGTTTCAGCAGGCTGGCAGGCTGGCATCCCTCAAGAGAGGTGACTTCGATCAAGTAACCCCAGGTTTCGACCCAAAAGACATCACAAACGAACCTATGATAACCTATGTATGTCATGAGCCACAAAAACATCAAACCTCTGAAACCATCTGGCCTGCGAAAGCTGAAACCTCCTGAGATGTCACAGACATCTGGCCTCTGAAACCTACCTCCCTGCCTTACCTTTCCCTCCCTCCCTGGCCTTCCCTGCCGTGATCCTCCGCCCGTAGTGGCCACCGATCCCTCCTCCCTCGCGCCGTGATGTCAAGCCCCCAGGTGTGCGTCTTGCGCGTGCGGACCTGGGCGAGGGGTCTGTGCATCGGTGACGAGCCCTGAAAGACATCTCAGCCAGTTTATTCGGGTAGACCAAGGCCACTGGGCCACCGGCTTGGAGTGAACTAGAGACTTCACTTTCTTGGAAGTACTCACACTGTTGATGAGGTGACTTGTTGCCATTGGCAATTGATGTTCTTAAGTTGTAGCACCCGCACGCATGCAAAAACGATCAAAAATGCGTTGCCTCTTGAGCGAGAAGGGTGTGCTAAATTTTGGCAATCTTTTAACTTTCCTGATCTTTCATGCTATTTGAGGTCGGCCACCGCTCGTAAGAAACGGGTGTCACCAAGTGTCCATTCTGGGAAGATCTTAGGGACACATTGGCCAAATGGGACAAGGGACTCCCGGAGGATGTTGTTCACAGATGTTCACATTACGAGTACCCTGGGAGTCAAAGACTATTTAAAATATTGTCTTTAGGGGACCTGAAAGGGAAGTTCCTTTACTTCAGCCGGTCAAAATATAGTCTTTGGACTTCTAGGGGTTATGCAACCCGCTTTTTAGATCATGTGACTCTGGAGGGTGTGGCTTTTCGGGCCAACTCCTCTTATCTCCATCGCCTCGAAGCTTCTCGGCCGCTCAAAGGTCAGTCGTAGCCTCCCGCGGCTTCGGGGCGGATCGACGACGCGAACGCGCCCGGATCCGATTCGGATCAAGACGGTTGTGTTCAGGGCGGCACATGTCACGATGAAGATGATGAAACATCGATCCACAAACTGTATATAGATATATATATGATTGTATGTGATTATACCATGTCGTTGATGTCGTTGTGTATATATATAATATATGATTCATTATATGATTGTAATTATATAATTATGGCATGTCGTTGTGCCACGACACGGTTCAAAGTAGAATATGTACCGTCGCTGTTTCAGTAATTAGTGTCCTGTTGATGGCACCTGCAGTCGCCAGCTCTAGTCGCCTTTCTTCTGATTAACTGACATTGAGTGGACCAAAAAGAAGGCAACAGATGCAGTTTTCGCATGTCTTGGATGTAAACCTGTTCAGGACATCGAGCAGTGTACCCACTGGAAGGCTTCGGTGTGCCTGATCGGATCCGGAAGGCAACCATCGACGGACGCATGGACAGCCAGCCGAAGAGCGAACGGTGAGTCAGGGCCATCTATTTGAGGTGGTGCATCACCCAAAGAGTGGATTTTAGAATGTGTTACACATATGTTTAGACTGGAAGCCCTCCGCTCATGCACGCTGGTTTCTACAGGCAAGTTGCCTTCCATAGGACGGTCAGAGTGTCTAATTCAGTGTCCAAAAGTCAGAGAGTCTTCCATAAACCAAGGCACTCCATGCATAGTAAATATATGTACATATGCCTACATTGACCTTTGAAACCACCCCAATCTACATCAATATAATAGGCAATATTCCATAATATTGCAGAAGGGTGCTTGGGTATGTTTGGGTCACATTCCCAAAACTTCTACCCTCCCTCCAATGATGGAAGTGAACCACAGCCTCCTGGAATACTCTCTCCCCATCTCTCCCCCTACCAACCAAACATGGTCTATTCCTTGTTTCAGGGACTTCTACCAAAGTCCATGAGTCCCGTGGTCTCTTCCCATCTCCAGCTCCGGGCGGCTCCAGCTGGGGCTCCGGGCTGCCCAAAGGCACAGGCTTTCGAGACGAGCTGCCGCCCAGGCGCCCGGGTGCCATTCACCTGCACGAGCTGCGGAGAGAACCGACACGGCGCGGGCCGCGACGTGGTCCAAGGGATCCGGTCGTCCCGAACCTCGGCACCCGACTGGCATGCGGGCCCAGTCCCTAGGCTAGGATCTACTCTTGTTCTATGTATTTTCTATCTACACTGGGTGCAGATCACATGGGAGTTAAGGCGTCAAGTGACATAAGGCAAACGACTTGGGAATGTGTGAGTTCCCATGTCTGTTTTCTAAATCCCGTGTCATCCGAACGTAGGATCTATTTGAGGTTGGGGGGAGGTCGAAAAACAGATGGTTTCGCAACTCAGTGACTGCAGAATCAAGGACGGACAAGAAAGGACAAGAGAACGCTTTACATCCATAAACAGGAGGGGAGGTGGTGGAAGAAAGACACCAACACATGCTACTCTTGTCCAACACTGGCGTGTGAAGGAATATGAAGGAATGCCCCCTGTGGGAATGTATGTGAAAACCTTTGAGAATGTGTTGAGTGTATTTGAGCGTTGGATGTTCCAAGATCTTCTGTCACTTGGTGCAACGATCGTCTATCCGACCGCGTACTGCATCTGCAGCACTGCTTGGCACAGTTCTCTTAGGTGGGAACTACATGTATAGGCTGAAAGGAACTCAGTGGAGCCGCTGCCTTGCTCCCTGTGTTGCATGACGATCCAAAACCACTCGACGTAACCGGCAGTTCGGCGACTTCGGCTCGGCCCGGTGACCGGCCCGGTGGGCTCCGGGAGCGTGGCCTCTTGAGGTAAAGATCTGGGTCACAGTAAGATCCCCTCAAAGCATCAGCTTCCTTTTCCATCCTTTTCGAATGAAAGTGACAAGGGTTCCGGGATATCAGTAAACAACCACCACAA